TAATTTTTGTTTGACCGTCAAAGTGTTTTTCTTGATCATTTTAAGAATCTGATTCAGATCGCAAGTTTTTCTTTTGAAACCAATGTTTTTTCTCTCAATGTCTTAAAATTTGTTTGCTCTCCAAAGTGTTTTTCTTGATCCTATTGGCACAAATCTAATCCCATAGTTGTGATCTACAGTGTCAAAACCTGCAGAAAGATCTAACAACACTAAGACTGTGAATTCCCCGTTGTCTCCAGCCATCATGATGTCACTGGAAACTTTAAGCAAAGCTGTTTCTGTTGAATTCTTTTTACGAAAACCAAATTGAAATTTGACAAAACTGTTGTGTAGTTCCAGAAAACTAATCAGCTGATCTGACACAATTTTTCTCAATATTTTAGAGTTAATGGGTCATTTAGAAATGGGTCTGTGAGTTTTAGGCTGAGATGAGTCCAAACTGGGTTTTTTAAGGATAGGTTCAAAAGAAAACAGATGGTCCAGAGCCAGATTGTAGGGATAAATTAATAAAATCTACAATGCATGGGCCAATTTGATCGAACATCTTAAGGAGCAACATGGTTGGAAGAATATCAATAGGGCATGAAGTTGGGTTCACACACATGTCATGGAAATTTACAACAGTAAAGAAGGACCATGATTACGAGGAAGGTGGTTGGATGAGAATAGGAAGTGGATGGAGGTGAAAAACGTGCCCTGATATTTTTGATTTTATTCACAAAGAATCAAGTTGTTGCAGTCAGTTCTTCAGAAAACGTACCTAAGAGGGGTGTGACGTAAAACAATCTGATTAATGATGTCAAACAAAACTTGAATATTCATTGATCCTTTCAAACAAATACATAAACAAATGTATTTGTATAGCACATTTTCACAGCAAGGTTGACAAATGTGCTTCACAAACAAAAGAAGTAGGTTAAAACAGGCAAAAGTGTAAAATTCAATAAAAACTAGAAATGGGAAAAAAAAACAGTTTAATAACCAACTCATAATCAACTCGTCTTCAGTTATTTTATGTTCGCCAAACCAATGCTGGTCTCCACTGGGTCAGTGAAATAGAAAGACAAAAGTTAAATCTCTTTTCTGCCTCTGTTCATGGCCTAAACCCTAACCCCCAAATTCCACTACCTCCGCTCCGCTGCGCTCCGCTCCGACACGAACGCCGGAGCAAAATCGGTCCCGTTCTAGTCAATCAGAGCAATTCCACTACTGCGGCCGTGCTCCGGCAGTGCGGCGCCGTGCGGCGCCCTCTGTTCCGGCGTCCGGCAAAAATAGAATCGATCCTATTTTTGCCGGACGCCGGAGCACCTCCGCAGTAAAAGGACAGAAATCACAACGGCCCAACAGGAAAAGGAGCAAGCACATCTTCCGTTTTTCACAATAAATCGCTAAACAAAAGGCGTTTTTTGTTTCATATGCACAGGTTTAACAACTTTTAACAACTATCAATGGCGGCTGAAGTTTAAATGCACAAAAATAAGCCATAAATACAGTTGCCACTATCAAAGTAGTCACACTTTGTTGATCCAAACACTGCTGATCTCTCAACACAATGATGGGCAGATTAAACAGCTCATTTCCGATGCTTCTCCCGCACAACGGGTGTTTGGATCTAACTTCCGCGTTTATTGCTCGGACTGTATCGCAAGATCTCGAAAATCCCGCGCATGCTTGTTTGCCCCCCTCAGGTCTCCGCACCGGAGCGGAGCCGTTGTAGAGCGGGTACCAGTAAAAATTGAGTTCGGAAGCGAGCGGCTGCGGAAGGCGGGGGCGGACCGGAGCGGAGCGGAGGTAGTGGAATTTGGGGGTAACAGTACACACCTGGCCTGGCTGGCCACAAAGCACTTAATCAATCTTGAATCATGAATCAATCCACAGAGTGAAAGCTCACTCGGGCACAAGAATATTGTTGGACTAAACTCACCTTGTTTTCCTTCTGTTTCATAGATTGTAAAATGCAGTCTGAACGCACTGAATACTTTCAGTTTCATTCTCTCCACCTTCTAAACAGAGCTCCATCCCCTTTCTGTCATGGTCTGCGTCTGCCCCTTCCTTCATGTGCCTCCTGGTGTTTCTCCATCCTCTCTAGGTGCTCCTTTTGTGTCTTCTAGTGCCCTCATGTGTCATGTCTGTGTCTTCCTCATGTGTCTCCTGGTGTTCCCCATTTGCCCTTTAGGTTTCCCCCCTCAGACATCCCTCTCCCAGGTCCTGTGCTCTCTTGGCTCCCTCTTAGCCACGCCCCTGTAGTTTCTTTCTATAGTGTTTTCCTTTAGTGTCAGCTTCCCCTTAGTATATTAGTCATGGTTCATGCTTTCTGGTCTTTTGTTTTTCTCTTAGGTCATTTTCCTTTGTTACAGCCTTTCATTATTTAGTGTGTTTTTTCCCACCAGTGTTTTCTTCCTCCTCCCTGATTTAGTAATTGTGTTCACCTGGTCCCTCTCCCCACACACCTGCAATTCATCTCCCTCTCATCTTCCCAGTCTATATAAGCCCTGTCTTCTCTCTGTGTGGTTGTCGGTCCATTGTATGTTTGTCAGCGTTGTTTCGTGCTCTAGTTGAGCTTTTGTCTCCAGGTTTTGGTGCTCTCAGTGAGCTTTTGTTTTTGTTACCAGGGTTTTTGCATTTTTGGACTTTTGGCTTGCTGCCTTTGGATTTATTTTTGTTCGTCCTGCAAAATAAAGCATATTTACTTTATCATCTCCAGCCTCGTGTCATCCTGTGTTTCTGCATATTTGGGTCCTAAACATCCTCAACATGACACTTTCTTTACAGTAAGTGTAGCAAAAAAAAATTTCTCTCTCTCTCTCGCGCTCTCTCTCTCGCGCTCTCTCGCTCTCTCTCTCTCTCTCTCTCTCTCTCTGAGAGACTCCTGTAAGGGACAATGTTTTTCTTCTGCATGTAAATATAATGAATCATCAATCAGGTATTGGGTTGATTGTAAATCTTCTATAAATTTGACACTCAAATGTTTTTTTAGCCTACGCTCTGACTCCTTCAGTCATCATTGCCAGCAGCAGCTCTGGGCCAGTCTACTTCCAGGATGGATCAAAACCCACCTATCATACAAAACCCTATATAGATATGGGGTGAGTATGTTGTAAAAGCAGAAAGAATGATGGAGAGGAAAAGGATAGAGTTAAAAAATATATGGGGGTGAATAAGCAACATTTATCAGACAATAAAATCATAACTTCACAAAACTAGCATTCTCCCATCATGAAATTCATCCTGTGTAGAGCAGTGGAATCGCTACACAGAGCATCCACTTTACTCCCCTCGAGTAACGTCTGAGTCTGAGTGCCTAAAGCACAGCAGCAACCTTCTCAGAGTTCAGGGAGTTTTCCAATTGCCCCCAAAAGCTCCATAATGTTCTGATATACTAGATAACTGCCTGCTCCAATTTGCAGAAATCTGGCAATCAAAAATAAAAAAATCCATGTCTTCAGCATCTTCCATGGAAAGAAAAGAAACATAATATTCCACTTCTTCCAGAAATCCAATATGTATCCAACCGGGTGCGTTCCGTCTGACATATGGGAGCTCCCATCTTTGCTTGGAATGTTGGAAAAAATAAAATCAATTGCTTTCAATCAATCAATCAAAGCTTTATTTATAAACGCCTTCCACAACCCTGTCAGGAAGCCCAAGGCGCTGAACATGAACATTTCATTGACCAGCTCATGAAATCCAGCACCTAGACGACTGCAACTCTGTCTTATTTGGTGTAGGTCAGGTACAGTAGCTCACCTGCAGCTTGTTCAGAATGAGGCACCGAGGTTCTTAGAGGGTGTGGCAAGATGGAGAAATGAGGGCCTGGATGGGATTCGATCCCCAGACTCCCGGGTGAGAGTCACGCGTGCTAACCAGTCCAAGTAGCCAGGAAACGTTATCAATTGGGATACAGTGACAGGATGCTCATGTGACAGCGTGAGCGTCCTGTCACTGTATCCCGACTGATCATGCGCCCTGGTTACTTGACCAAGGGGATGTCCCTTTGGCTGGCTGCTTAGCACGTGTGACTCGTCATCCCAGAGTCTGGGGATCAAATCCCGTCCAGGCCCTCGTTTCTCCACCTTGCCACACTCACCCTGTCACAAAGGCAAGAGAAAAACAGAACATGTGACACCAAGTTTTGGCTGCTCTGCATTGGCTACCTGTCAATTTTAGAATTTTTTTTAAACTTCTTCCAATGGTGTTAATGGGTTGGCCCTGGCCTATTTGACTGAGTTGTTGCAGTCATATGTTCTTGCACGGGCGTTTCGCTCCGAGAACCAATTGCTGCTTTTGTCTCCCAGAGTTCGGCTGAAGACGAAGCAAAACTTACGGCCCATGTTTACTTCCATTGTCAATTAATGGGTGAACTCTAAGCCCTCCTCTTAGATTTCACCTTTCTAGAACGTACGATGCAGTTTTAAATCTCATTCCTAAGCAGTTTCAGTCTAGAACATCACCTTCCTGCATCTAATCAACATGACTCTCAATAGAGGCTAACAACTCATCAGGGGATGGAGAGACGGGGTACCCAGAGTAGTTTCTGCTTGTTAAATCACAGCAGAAAGCTACAGCTTATAAACTTGACTCTCCCATATTCCAGTTAGAATTGACAAAGCTCCTAGGACGAGAAGCGAAACGTCTTCAAGAAACCAAAGAAGTCCAGTTGCCTTCATTTGAACCCTTTTGGATAACTTTAAAGTAACTGCAGCTTATTCAGAATGCTGCTGCTAGACAAAGTTTATAAATAACTCAGTGGCATGGGGCCAAAGTGCATGTTGGATCTCCTTCCAGTACATACACCCAGCAGGTCTCTGAGATCCTCGGGAAACATCAGCTGGTAGAACCCTGGGTCAGAACCAAACAGGGTGAAGCTGCTAAATAGGAACAAAATAGGTCACAGTACTAAAGAAATCAAGAATAAAAAAAATAATGAAAAAGAAAATAATAACTTCAGATTGCAATTAAAAGCTTGGTGCTGCTGTTTCCTCGTTTGACCACTAGAGGGCAGTAAACACTTCCTGGTGTGGGTGTGGACGCTGATGACTACACAAAAATGGAGGAGAAGCAAGCCAACCCTGCCTGTAGAAAGTAGTTTCAAATCGAAACCGTTTTACATCGAGTCCTTCTATGGTCGCTGGTCCTAGTTGATATGCTGTGTCAGGATGGGAAATCTGTTTGGAAAAAAGAAACAGTCCCGAGTGACGGAACAAGATAAAGCCGTTTTGGTAAGTGACAGCGAGCTAATCGTTAGCAGGCCAACTACTGTAAACATGGGTGCCGGTGTTCTGGGAATCGCATTGAGAAATGAGTTATTTATAAAACTGACAATTCCCTAACAATGGGTACAGATTTAATCAACCTGTCGTCACTTTCACTGAGCCTCGCATTAATTTGGCGTTATAATATCTGGAACATACCCTAACACTTGTGTAAATATAGCTTTGCAAATTTGTCTTGGCTTGGTGTAAAATCGGTAAAGTAAAAAATAACTTCGACACTGCCTGGGTGTCCGCTGACAGATACTGTGTTTAAACTATGTGAGGTTTCCAACACTTGAAGCAGGACTCCAGTTTGTTTCTGTTTCACAGCAACTGAAGCAGCAGAGAGACAAGCTGAGACAGTATCAGAAGAAAATCAACCTGCAGCTGGAGAAGGAGCGATCTTTAGCCAAACAACTGCTGAAAGATGGCAAGAAAGAGTGAGTGGAAGAAAATGTCAGCAACACAAACGGTTTACATAAATGGCTCTGACTGGATAAGGACCTGTCAGTCATAAACATGTCATTTTAAGTGGCCATATTTGGTTTTGATTGCAGAGACAGCTCACAGAATGGTTGATGAACATGTTTACATTAAATTTTTGTTTTCACATTTCAAAAGTGAAATTTTGGATCTGCATTCTGGTCAGAATGATGTTTGTCTCACAGAAATGATGGAAGTGTAAGTTCACCTGAACGTCTGCAGTAATGGGTGATAATAATAATAATATTCATGGATGCTGCCTTTAAACTCAGCAGTGATGGCTTGAGGGATCATCTTTCTCTGTGTTACTAAGATCAATCAGACAGTTTGCTATTTCACCTGCAACCTTGGAGGTGTTTCTAATTCTGATCACTGCTGAGCACATCTGGAATATTCCTACAGGTTTTTTTTTAGCTTGGATCATATTTTATTTTAAGTTTCATATGTTTAAGTCTAAACTAAATACCAGTTCAGTTTCCTCCTGGTTTTTGTGTGATAAATGTCAGCAGCTGAATTCTAAGAACTTATCAATAATCTTTATTTTTGTTGAAACATTTATGAGTATTAAACACTTTGCAGCGAGCTTTATTGTGTAGAAAAACTTACATTGTGTCTCAAAAGCAACCCTCACATGGAAACAGTGATTCTCATTATCACAGAGTCTTTACATGAACTGACTTTTTTTTTCTTACTATTACACCAAACAGGAAAGCACTCCTCTTGCTGAAGAAGAAGCGGTACCAGGACCAGCTCCTGGATAAGACGGAGAACCAGATAAGCAACCTGGAGCGGATGGTGAGCGGCCGGCGGGGCTTTGGTGTAGTCTCAGCGAGGCAGCATTGCAGCTCAGGCTGAAGCCAGAACAACATGAATTCTTCTTCTTCTGCTGGTTTCAGGTTCAGGATCTGGAGTTTGCTCAGATCGAGAGGAAAGTTATTGACGGGTTAAAAATTGGAAACGAATGTCTAAAGAAGATGCACGAGGTGAGCAGTCTTAAGTGTTGGATGGTCCTCCGCTGTGGCTCCGAGGTGTGATGGGATGTGGTTTCTCCCAACAGGTGATGTCTATTGAAGAGGTGGAGCGGATCATGGATGAAACCCAGGACTCCATTGAGTACCAGCGGGTAATGCTCTTGAATTAGATGATGATGTCACCTGGAGACCTACAGGTTTATTTTCTTTCATCTGAGCACGATTTCTTGTAAAGTACATTTTTTTCTCTTGATGCAGCAAATCGATGAGATGCTTGCTGGCTCGCTGTCACAAGAGGATGAGGATGCTGTTCTGGCTGAGCTGGATGCCATCACTCAGGTTAGTCTGGGTCAAACACACACACACACACACACACATGACATGATGACACCAAGATAAAGCTGTGGTCTTCATGCTGGTTCTGATCTGGTTCTCTCAGAGAGACGTTGAGCTTCCCGAAGTTCCATCAGAGCCGCTGCCAGAAGTCCCAGAGGCTGCAGAGAAGAAACCAGGTACGTTGTCTCGCCTCAAAATCTCACCATAGAAGCAACCTGACAGGTAGACCAACACCTGGGCCGATGTAGTCAGACAGATCCGTTTGTCGCATCATCATCATCATCAAAATACATTTGAAGCTTCAGAGAAAATCTGTTCATTGTAAAGCTCTACGTTACATGTTTTTCCGTGTGAATCTCTCTCAGTGTTCTCCCTGGGGAATCTCGCGTAGCGCCACGCCTGAGCCCATGTAGGGTGACTCTAGCAGACCTGCCAACCTGTACACATTTTGCGTAGCAAGTACGCAATTTGGCATCTAATTACGCTGGTACGACTCGCCCCTCTAAACTACACAAAAAGCTGCAGACACGTGAGTTCTGTAGCAAATGCGCACGTGTGGTTCTCGTGTCTACAATACGACTCAGCAGCGTGGTGAAGAAGTTTAAGCCAGTCATCATAGAAAAGCAGAGAAAAACATTTCTGCCTAACCTATAGCGTAACCCCCCCCCCCCCCCCACCCCCCTCCTCCCTGCTCCATCTTACGTCCTGCCCGCTGCCTCTCTCTCCATTCTCCGGTTCCCACTCGCTGGTGTTTAAAAAGATAAAATCTGTGTGTGTGTGTATGTGTGTCAGCGGATCGGACCAGCCTAGTCGTTGCACCCATGGGGGATGTAAATGTTTTAGCACCCACACTTTTCCTAATGAGGAGGATAAAAACACCCACGCTTTACCGCAGTTTAGTTAAAATACTTTACAATCAGTCGGCTTCCTCCATGTTTCTCGCTGTGTTTGCCCACTCTCCCTCCCTCTCCTGCTGCTAATCAAAACTCGCACCGACGTTACATCAGTGTTCTGCTCGGTTCTGTTGTTAAAATCCATTTCTCCTATCACTCCGCGGCTTGCAAGCTGCAAAAACGCACGTGCTCACTACAAGCTCGCTCCCGCGATGCGCCCCGCTCACACACAACAGAACTGTAGCCACCGTGTGTTAAAACGTCTGGTTTTTGCAAATCAACATTGGAAACTGGAGCTAACTGTTGAAGTTATGTGTACCGACCCTGTTTATGGGTCACCTCAGAGGTGGCTTGTTGATGTTTTAATTCTTTAATGAGAACAAGAGATTAAATTATTGCAAAAAGCCAAAAAGAACCATTAGAATCGACTCGGCTCAAAACTACAACACCTGGACTCTTCAGACCTGGACCAGATTATTCTACAAGAACAGCAAAATCCATGAATGAGTTGGTAAAATGTGAAACCTTTAGTAGTGTTACGACCCCAACCTGGTCTAGGATCCAGGGAGGTCTAACACAGAAACGTGAGAATAAAAAGAAAATGATCTGACACCAAGTCAAAGGAGAAGTTTTATTAACAAAAAGCGTCCCTAAGGGAGAAAACCTGGTTAATAAACGAAGGGGAGTTCAACTTAGGCTGCAGAGAACACAAGATGAGGACTTAAGTAACTTAGAGCAATAAAATGAGAACTAAAACTCACTGGTTCCAAAAATGGGACCAGGAACAACAGAAGCTTACCAAAAAGTCCACTGGGGAACCAACTCACCCACACAACCGACAGCTCTGTTAAGAGCAAGAGGAAAACGAATAGGTTTTCCCAAGCAGGTGGAAATCAACCATCTGGGGGCAACTATGCGTTCCCAAAAGTTCTCAAACACAAGTCTCTCTTTAATCCTCTCCTCTCCAGTCCTCTCAATCCGTCCTTCTCCGTCCTCTCCGTGTCTCAATCTCTCTCCGTCTCAATCCGTCTCTCCGGGGCAGCGTTGATTTTATCCGCCCCAGCCGGGAGATTACTGATGGGCATCAGCTGCGCGAGTGTGGCCGGGCGCTCTCCGTGGTGCTGACCATGGCGCTGTAACGGAGCGGAGTAGAAGCCGGGCGCTGGGGAACTCGGGGATCGTAACAAGTAGATTAGTGAAAGTCCAAGGAAGGCAACTTTCTTCAATGATGTATTGTAAGTTTGGTTATGATGCTAGCAGCAGAGTTTATATTGGTCACCCATGCAATAAAACATTTTATAATTAGAGCAGATTAAAGATGCAGGAAGTGGAAAAATTAGTTGGAATTAACCATTCTACATTAGAAACTAGAAAGGGAACCAATTCAGCTTTGTACAAAACAAACAACAATAAATGGCTAAAATAAAACGGGAAGAATTTTTTGCCAAATTAAAGAGAAACAATTCTAATTAAAAAATTGTGGCCATGCTTGCAACCCTCTAAACTACCTCACTATATGCGTTTTGCTTAATCTGCAATTACGATGTGGACGTAAGCCACCAGGGAGTGGCAGGAAATGTAAAAGTTAGCCCTAGAGGTGTGTGCATAATGTGCTTTAAGCCAATTTAATATTACATTCCTGAAAACAGAACCACCTGTTGCAATATACAAAATAAATTATTACCAATAAATACATATTAAAACATTTTTTTGAATTATTTTTGATTAATTAGGTATTGAAATAATTCAATGTTACTTGAGGCTATCAGCTTGTATAAGCACACATATTATATAAGGTAAGCAACTGCAACTTTTGACTTTTACTGTTTAATATTAAAATAAATGATTCTTTGGTCTATTCAAGAAGATGTTTCCAGCTGGTGAACGGGGACCTTACAGCTTGGAAAGCTGCAGAGTTGCAAGTCTGCCAAAAATAAAAAATAAATAAATAAATAAATGTTGCGCATGTGATGCTCTAATAATTTTGACAAGGTTGGCAGGTCTGCTCTAGTTAGAGCTAGGATAGAAGTTTTAGTCCTCAGCAGTGATGGGAATAATGGTGTTACTATCAAAAGTTAGTTTTTTCAGTAACAAGTAATCTAATTAGTTACGGTCTTCTTTTGTCACAACACCGTTTCAGTTACTGATAAGAAAATACGTGCGTTACTCTATAATTCAGGTGTGTTGAAGCTGTCATCAACCTATCAGGAGCTACAGAAGTGGATTTTTTCTTATCCAAGCGCGTCACGGCCAGTGAGAAACGAGGAAGACGTGAGGAATAATTGCGGCTTCAGACCCGGAGACCCGCAGATTCGCTGCTGCAGACACGAATCTGATCTGCGGGTCTGCAGTCGTACTCTTCTTGGTGTGACAGCGGAGCTTCAGGGTCCGCCCATCTGTTCACCGCTCACGTCTGTTCAATCATTCCTTGTTCCAATCTGCTGTCTTCCTAGATCACCCAACTGGAACCTGTTCCTGATCCTTTCTTTAGTCCTGCTGTAACACGGACTGTATCGGTCTCAAACGTCATGGGCACTAAGGCGTTACAGCTACCTGTGTGTCTTCACACCACACTTTCAGCTCTTCTGTGTTTGGGTCCGACCCAAGTCAGTAAATCCAAGCCCTCCATCAGATCCGTGCCTGTTCTAGTGTCTTTTTGAGGACATTATTCATAGATGTGCTGTTATTAGATTATGAAAAGTAGAAATGCTAATAAAAACACATAATTATGCTAAACTGGAAATGTTAGAATACTGTGCAAAACTACAAGAGACAGTTTAAAGGCTCGGGAACCCTTCACAGGTGTTTTCTATTTGCAAATATAAATTTTATTTTATTGGGGTCGTGTTAAATATCACAGCGACGTTTGAATAGTTTAGATACGTGTCATCTGTCCTGTTTGTAGTATTATAGCAAATATATGGTAAATAAGTCAGTTTAATTAAGGAAGGGTTCCTGTTCTTTCATATTTTTGTGAAAAAAGTTACAAAATAGTTATTTTTCTTAGTAATTAGTTACTTTTATAATCTTGTTACTCAGTAACTAACTGAGTTACTTTTTTGACAAAGTAATTAGTAACTATAACTGAGTTACTTTTTTGACAAAGTAATTAGTAACTATAACTGAGTTACTTTTTTACAAAGTAATTAGTAACTATAACTGATTACTTTTTAAAAGTAAAATTTCTAACAGTGGTGCTGAGAAGTTCTTCAGAATTCAGAGTCCTTTTATATTATGGGACAGCAGGAGCTCAGGAGGTAGAGTGGGTGTTCGGTCATCGGAAGGTTGCAGGTTTGATCCCGGCACCCACCAGAGAATGCTTCTGTTGTGTCCTTGGGCAAGACCTTTCCTGCTGGTGGTCCGAGAGACCGGTGGCACCAGTGTTTGGCGGGCCTCGCCTCTGTCAGTGCTCCCCAGGGCAGCCGTGGCTGCATCGTGAACTCTGGGTGAGTCTCGTGTTTGTGTGAAACAGCAGAGTCTCATCTGAGTCTGTGAATCTTTTTCAGATTCAGAGAAGGAGCAGCCCAGGAAGAAGCCAGAGCGAGAGATGCTGCCTGTGTAGAAACCGAACTAAGCTCCTTCAGCTGAAGCCCATCAGAACCACACAGACTCTGTTCCCGACACCTCAGAGGTTGTTGAAGCTACAGCAGCTGCTAATAGAGCTTCCTTCATCACATCTGGTGGCTAGTAGGCTTCGTCTGCTGCAGGCCGACCCCAAAGGCAGGACCAGGTCACTGCAGGGCCCTTAAATCCTGGAAGACCTGTGAAATCAGATTAATGTGCCTAACTGAAGATTCATTTGTGCTCAGTGTTTACCGTGAAATCATTTTATACTCTATCGGCTAATTCAAGATTTTGTATGCCGTTTGTGTTTTCTTAATTCTTTAAAGAAAATTTTTAATTTAACTTGAGTCCAACTCGAGCCTTTCTCCCAAAACACAAGCATTCATCTGTGTGCATCCATCACACTTTGGTTTTTATTTGTGAAGCTAAAGAAAGCGATTCATCTGTCCTGAAAGCACATCCAAGTTAGCAACACAGAGACGAGCTGTGTGGGAGAATATAAAAACCAATTTCTTAATCTGATTTAATCTGGATTTTGACTGCTATAGAATTATGCAGACTGTGTGAAAAACTGATTTTCTTGCCGTTTGTGTGAACTGACCCTTGATTAATCTTTAAAGCTTTTGGCTGCTTTGTGATGAGTTATTTCACCCAGTCTGAAACTTTCTAAAACCTTCCAACATCCAGATCCGTTTCTGAGCCTCCACTCTCAACCCGACCCCTTCTGCAGCAGATTAACTAATCTCATTTGTGGATTAGCTCAGCGTCACTGAAGAAAGGGCTGAGTGTGTGTCCTCTGACACCGACAACAGTTCCTAATCTCCCCCAGCTTTGCAGAACCTGGATTTTACCCCACTGAGTATCATCAGCTGTAATTATGTCCCTGTGCAGGAGTGGCAGCCTGCTTCCACCAGGCTTAAAGCTTCTGTATCTCTGAAGATCAATGGAACTAATCTGTAAATCGTTTGAAGTCTGATGATTGTCGGCCTGCAGCACCAAACTCAGTTTCGTAGAGTTATTTTGGAAATTTCTGTACATCCTTTTTACAATAAAATGTTTTTTTATTGCTTTGTAGTAAAAGGCTGTAATTCAGTAGGTGAGCACTAGGTAGCAGTGAGCGACAACAAGAAATAAACTTAAGGCATCTTTGTCTTCGTGGCAGTTCAACGTCTTAATTTCTAATAGGTTCTTAATATTAATAAAATCAGTTAATAGGTGAGACAAATCTGTTTATGTGGGTGTTTGGATAATGCGCTGCACCTGTTTTCAGAAGGATTATTATGAGACTAAAGAGGAAAAAATAACCTTCCAAAAGTAAAAAAAACACATTTACCCATCAAAACATCCTTTTCTAACCCTATTTATTAAATTTACTTAACTACTGAGGAGCAAGTTCATATTTGGTCAAACGTTAGGTTATAAAAATTCTAATTTACCAGCTGGAATTCTTATATTTGCTCAAAGGTGGCTTGAAAGGAATTGGTGAGGAGTTTTAATGCCCCATTTCTACAGTACAGGTTTAATTGTAGGTGACCTAACACCAAACTGGTGAATGTGTGAAGGTTAGAGGTGGAACAAAATGACATACCTGCAAACTTCCCAACTATTCTGGGCATGAAGTGACAGTTGGACCAGTTGTTTCATCTCATGGTGACAGAAACTCTGTCATTATCTGGAAAATGACTTTAAATCACATCTTCACAAAGGAACATTAACCACTGTTTACAGAGTCAACTGTTAAAACTTATAATTTCTCTTATTTATTAACACATTCAGCTGCTAGACAAAAAAAATCACAACAAAAGGAACAAACTCAAACTGCTGTGTAACCTTTAACCTTTATTTGAACAAAACCTGAAGCTGTCTTCTGTTTGTTGGTTCCTTCCATCCCCTTTGCTGTCGTCCTTGTTTTGAATGAGCTGGAGCCGCTCCACTGCGGCTGCGCTCTACAAGCCTTTACGATTCTGTGTGGGAGTGGGCGGCTCACACACTGAAACCTGAATGTCAGATCGCCACGCTGATGAATCACAGACGAGGATCAAAAGCAGAAAGCGCTGGAGAGGAGGAGGCGGAGGCTGAAGATGAAGGCCAAATCAAACATCCCGTGAGTTGTGTGGCCCTGGCACCCCATGGTCCTGCCTACCTGATTACACTCCCCCACTGTGTCTCAAACACACACGGAAACTTTAAAATTCAACTCTGTACAATCAGTATGGCTGTGAAGTCAAGATTAGAAACTGTTAATAAAAGCTATCGTCCAAGTAATCTGCCAAAATCTCACTTTTTGAAAGCTTAAAGATTTAATACGGTAAATGCGTAAAATGGGTCACTATATCCCAAAATATCAGTAACAGTAGCTGGTAATCAAAGGAAAGCACACGTATTAAATTGTGCATTTGTTTGCCAGACAAACTCTAGGCTGGTTTCAATAATGTAAATTCATCAGGATGGTGATGTTTATTTTCAACATGCTGCTTTGCTGCTGATGAGGATCTAGTTTACTGATGGAATTCCTCCTTCAGCCCCTCTGATAGATTTCCAGAAGGATCTGAACTTTTTCTGACGTGTGGAGAGCCTGTTGGTTCCACGTGTTTTTAAAGTGGATCCAAACCATACCAAACCAAATCACACATTTTTATTTACACCCTTAAAAGCGAGCAGAGACATTCCAGGTCTTTTTTTTTTTAACTATTTGTTGAAGACCGGGTTTTGGACCTTCTGAACGGCAGACCACACTTTTTCCAAAGTCATTTTTTTGTCTGCAGCACTTTTAACCATCCAAAAACAACATTACACTATATTAAATAGACACTGGTCAAGCACTAGGACCAAGCCTGCTTCCCATTACATATTTTTACTTTAAAGATTCCCCGTCCTCATGCTGGTTGTGTCCTCCCCACTTCTAAAGTCAAAACTACGTCCATGGCTGCTGCTGTTGGGTTTGAGCTGTAGATGTATGAGTCCGTGTATACGAGGGGAGAGGACGAGGTTTCTGATGAGAAGATGGCAAACAATCTAAACAAGGATGTGGTAAAACAAAGAGATCATCTTCCAAAGTCTGGTCTGGGTAACTGGTCTCAGGCTGATGGAGTACCTTTCCAGCCCAGGATCTAGTCACCCTTCTTCCTACACGCTGAAGACTGAGCAGCATTAAAGTCTGGACAAAAAGCCGGAGGAACAGCTACTTTCCTGAGTCTGAGGCTTATGACCTCTGACCCCTGAACTGTCATCTGCTTTTTGTTTGCCACAATATACATTTAAATATTTTTTTATTAATTTGATATTTTTATTTAAATGTAATTTATTTATGTTATACTCATTAACATGTTTTATCTGAAACTGGGTCCTTTTCCTTTAGTTTGACTTCATTCCCATCATCAATATCTTAATTTATTTGTTTAGAACCAAACAGAAACATGGAGATTTCTTCTGGCCAGGTGTCGGAGCTAATTGTTGGGATTAAATCCTCAGAGAAGACTGAACCAATAAGACCGCTGACAATGGGAATGCTGCTGTGCTCCAATCAACACCAAACATGTCTGATTTTCACAAACCGTCCTCTGGATTTGTCTGAATTGAGTCTGTTCCTATAAACCTTTAATTCACTTCATTAGTTGGACAACCAAAAGCCTTAAAATAAAATTTCATCCCTCTAAAGGAAAGCGTTGCCAGATAAAATAAAAAGGCCCGTGACCATCGTCTTTTATGCTGCAGCTCTTTGTGAAGAGTTTCCATTCAGAGAGCGTCAGATGGTGATGTTTGGAGATGCGTGGGATTCCCACCTCACCATAAATGGCTCTAAAGCCCAGGAAAATGTGGCTCCATCACACTCATACCAACCAGAGCCTACTCAGCAAACAACCACACAAATAGAGCGGGTAGTAGAGTGTGAGTAAGGCCAACTCAACATTTAAAAAAATGCAAACATTCACTCAGAGAGAAAGAGAGAGCAATTCAGCTGTGGGAACCATCGAGCATCCAATCTGCTGATTCATCTTTGCTAGTGACAGGCCTGACTGTAGGGTCCACTTTAGAGAAAGAATTGCTCATATACAGATATTAAAACACGATACTGTTCAGTTGGATTTGATGTCTGGATAATATAGTCCAGAGATGCTGTCAGGTTTTCTGAATGGCTGGAGCAGAGTGGGCTGAGACAGCAGAGCTGCTTTAAATTCTGCTTTAAATGTTGTGATGCGTTTGAGGGCTCTATGTAAACTTAGGACATAGCATTATCACACCTTCCACGTCTGGGTCTCTAATAAAAAAAAAACAGAAAATACATCAAGAGGTGACATATCTAATAAAGTCACTATCAGAGACTTCCAATGGACTCAAAGGAGCAACGGTAAAGTGATTTTAATGTTTAAATACCATATGCTGCAGTAAAGTACAAGCAGAGTTTAACATGTCGATTAAACTATTTTAAACGATAAAAAAGGTAAGGAAAGTATTATATATATATATATATATATATATATATATATATATATATATATATAAAATTTCAATGGATAATTTATTATGTTATATTATTTTCTCACAGTTTACTTTAAATGTGGTTATTTTGTCCACATTCCCGCATTTTTTTCTTTTCTTTTTTTATTTCATTCAAAATAAAAACAAATAAAACATATAAACAATAAGAAATACATAACAACAAATCAAATTTGAACGAAAAGGAGCAGAATGAAGAAAAACATCTTATAATTTCTGTCCCCTTTTTCAGAAGAAATAATCAATTTGTATACAATTTCCATTTGTCAGACACACATACAGATTCATTTAAAACTTTTTCCTCTTCTAAATTCGCGCACACACACACACACACACACACACACACACACACACACACACACACACACACTCACATAACTCACTAGTCTTTTCATAAAACATTCGGGACTTGAGCCCAAGTAGCCGGGCCTAACGCCGCCCCTGATCCTGAGTAAAACAGTGTTGTATCATCTGCAAATAGAATGGTACCGAGTGTCTTAGATACATTTACCAAGTCGTTAACAAACAAAATGAACAGTTTTTGTCCGAGGACCGACCCTTGTGGCACTCCACAATTAATTTCACATAGTTTTGATTTATGGTCCTTTATCTGACCAAACTGTTTCCTTTTTTCTAAATAAGTTTTAACCCACTGATGAGCCACACCTCTTATTCCATACTGACTTAATTTTCGAAGTAACCTTGAGTGATCAATGACGTCAAATGCTTTTTTCAAATCAATGAAAACACTAACAAAGTCATTTTTATTGTCAATTGCTGTTTATATTTTATCCGTTAATTCCATTATTGCCATTGCTGTGGAATGTTTAGTTCTAAACCCATATTGTTCATTGTATATATATATATATATATATATATATATATATATTTTTTTTTTTTTTTTTTTGATGAATTTATCCAACCTTGATACAAATACTTTTTCCAATATTTTAGAAACTGTGGATGCAGTGACACCGGCCTGTAATTATTGAAACTATGTTTATCACCACTCTCATATAAAGGAATGACTTTCGCTGTTTTCATTGCGTCAGGAAAATTTCCAATAGAAAGTGATAGATTACAAATGTAAGTGAATGGTTCAATGACAGATTCCATGATGGTTTTAGCAGTTATCATGTCCAGGTCCTGATAATCGGTTGATCGTTTGTTTCCACAGTTTTTTTTACAATGTTTCGTATTTCTTCTTTATCTACTTTGTCAAGGCCAATACTATTGACAGTACTAATCATTGTGGTCAATTTATCTTCTATTATTGGTTTGTTCTCCATCAAACTCCTACCTACATTTACAAAAAAATCATTAAACTCATCAGTGATTTCTTTATCATAAATATCTTTTTTGTCCTTGACAAAGGGATTTGGAATACTGGATTTTGTTTTCTCTCTATTAGTCACACTGTTTAGTATTCCCCAAGCAGCTTTTGTGTTATTTTTATTCTGATTCAATAGATTACCATAATAATCATTTTTTTGCTTCCTAATTATTGTTACCAATTTATTTTTATATTTTTTATATCTTTCTGCTTCCCTTGTTTGCAATTTTAACAAACTCCTATATACATTATTCTTTTTTGCACAAGCATTCTTAGTCATCCAAGGTTGATTTCCCCTTTTACTTGTAGATTTGATTAAATTGCAGTTATTATATGACTTCAACAGTGGAGAGGGATGTGTATGCAGCGTTGACATCACTGACGTATACCTCCTTCCAGTTTTGTTTATTAAGATCTTTGTTTAATGCCTCCATGGCTATAACTGATGTATCTCTTCTGTAGTGCATGGTGATGTTTTGTTTTATGGAATGTTTGTTTTTGAAGACTGCGAAAACAGGTAGGTAGTCACTAATATCCATCATTAATATCCCTGTTTTCCTGACATCATCGTTATTGTCACGTTGAGGGGATGGTTAGGACCCAAAATGCAGATCACCCAGATGACTAGAGGCAGGAGCTGATATAAAGTAAAAATCCTTTTACTGTAGGAAGAACAAAAATAAATCCAAAAAGGCAGCGAGCCAAAAATCCAAAAGTCCTGGAACTCACGACACTGAAAGCTCACTTAGAGCACCAAAACCTGAGACTTTGAACAAAAGCTCACCTAGAGCACAAAAGTCTGAGAATGGGACAAAAAGCTCACACAGAGCACCAAAACAACGCTGACAACAACAATGGACCGACAACCACACAGAGACAAGACAGGGCTTATATAGACTGGGAAGATGAGAGGGAGATGAATTGCAGGTGTGTGGGGAGAAGGACCAGGTGAACACAATTACTAAATCAGGGAGGAGGAAGAAAACACTGGTGGGAAAAAACACACTAAATCATGAAAGGCTGTAACAAAGGAAAATGACCTAAGAGAAAAACAAAAGACTAGAAGGCATGAACCATAACTAATATTCTAAGGGGAAGCTGACACTAAAGGAAAACACTACAGAGAAGAAAACTACAGGGGCGTGGCTAAGAGGGGGCCAAGAGAGCACAGGACCTGGGAGAGGGATGTCTGCGGAGGGAAACCTAGAGGGCTGAAGATCTAGGGGCAAATGGGGGACACCAGGAGACACATGAGGAAGATGCAGACATGACAC